ATCTTCAAAAAGTAAATGTCATGGACCAATCTAACGTTTCAAATAAAGAACCGATGAGATTTTGCAAATTTTATGCGTTTTTTTTAAAAAAAAAGGTATCAAGCTCTTAAAAAATCACCCGTTATCTGTCGTGTGTATGTCGTTTTCGAAAACTTTGATATTTTAATAACTCTACTCCTCTCTGGACCAATTAGTTCATTGAGTCTAATTTTGCGTATAGTCGAAACTGTTTGAAATCGAGAAGAAACATCTTTGGTTATCATGTAGTTTACAGAAAGGTGCAAAAAATAAATAAATATTTTTAATAAGCGTGCGGGTGCATAAAGTTCGGTTTTGCCCACACTTGTACTTCTTTACTTGTTTTTCTCGCCTTTGATGTGCGACTAAGGCTGGGTTTTTTTCCCTTGCAAGTTTGTATTTTCCACTTTTTATATTAACTTTTTCGGGGACTTTTTTCATTATTGTTATATTCGCCCTTTAATGTTTTTCGCTTACGTGTATTTACCTTACAACGTTCACTAATTTTTTTGCACTTTGCGAAATACTGAATAAGGTCAAATTTTTTATATAAAAAGGTTTGCGACATTCATTTCATTTGTCATGGCCCTTTTGCACTACTCGAATTACTTTGCATATGTTTGTATGTACAAACATATACCAGCTACTATACATACATACGTAGATACACCTGTTATTTAAACAGGTTTGACGTCAGAGTAGTTGGTGCCTATGTACCCTTTCGGTCAGCTGATTAAGTTAAGTGATATTTTGACTATTTTTGGCTATTTGTCTTTTGTCTATTTAATGTTAATAATTTTTTTTTTATGAAAGTTTAGCCTGTTACTAAACCAGCACTACATACTTATACAAATCAAACAAACATTAACAATAATACCCAAAAATTTTAGGTATACAGTTTTACAGCCAATTAAATTTGAGTAGATTAAAGTGCACAGACGCTAGAAAATCGTGTTGATTTTTAATAATTTTTTTGTCTGACGTTGTTGAGAATTTTCTCCCATATAAAGTGTGCTCGACAATTACTTTTATATGGAGGAAACTCCCTGGCACCGTCAGCAACAAAAAATTATTAAAAATCAATGCGATTTTCTAGCGATTGAAAAATTTAACTTTAACCTACTAAAATTTAATGGGCTACAAAACTGCATACCTAAACTTTTTCTAAAAATGTTTAATAAAAAGTTTAAAATGTTTGTGTGTAATTGTTAAAGTTTGTTTAATTTTTATAAATTTTTGTACGAAGTTTAAAATGTGGATTTATGTGTTGCTGTTTATGTAATGTGCTAGACTTTTATTAAAAAAATTATAAACATTAAATAAGCAAAAGAAAAATAACCAAAACCGTTTAAAATGCCACTTAACTCAATCAGCTGACCACAAGTGTATATAACGGGTGATTTTTTTGAGGTTAGGATTTTCATGCATTAGTATTTGACAGATCACGTGGGATTTCAGACATGGTGTCAAAGAGAAAGATGCTCAGTATGCTTTGACATTTCATCATGAATAGACTTACTAACGAGCAACGCTTGCAAATCATTGAATTTTATTACCAAAATCAGTGTTCGGTTCGAAATGTGTTTCGCAAACCCAATTGCTGCGAACGGCGACGAATCGACATTTCACGGTCTTCAGCAACACTCTCAGAAACAGACGCAATATTCTCTTCTGTACGCACTGTACGCATTCGTGTGGTTGGTTTAATGTCCAATAAAGTAAACTG